GTTTGGGGTTCAGGGTTTAAGGCTTAGGGTGTAGGGTTTGGGGTTTAGGGTTTAGGGTTTAGGGTTTAAGGCTTAGGGTGTAGGGTTTAAGGTTCAGGGTTTAGGGTTTAAGGCTTAGGGTTTGGGGTTCAGGGTTTAGGGTTTTGGGCTTAGGGCTTTTAGGGTGGATGTGCATGTGTACATGGGTAGTTCTCTAAATTCGGGGCCCCTTTTAGGTCCCCAAAATAGTACCGCACCTCTAAAACCTGAAGGGACCCTAATTTAGCGAACCACCCACATGCAGAAAGCTCATAAAATCAGTCTATCAAAGTCTACCATGGTGATAGACGCAGCTGTATGCCAGCTTTTTGCTTGCATAGACTATAGACCCGCAAATTCCAAAATTGAGATCCCACCCACCCCCAAAAGAAAAACAGCACCCAAGGATGTTTATTCCCGAAAGACCGAGACCAGCTCTGCAAGAAGATAGCAAAAACCTGACCCCCCGATGCCTTTTTGAAGGCCGAAATACTGGGTCTAGAAGCAAACGTTGAGGGTTGGGGTTTCGGGGTTGGGGTTCGGGGATGTGAGCGGCTTCGGGTCGAGGGCTTAAGGTTTAGGGTTTAGGGTTTCGAGGGTTTAGAGGGTTTAGGATTTCTCCGCCGCCACCTGAAAGGTCTTTCTTCCAAACGAAAGCCTGTGTGCTCTAGCTTCCGCGGGTCGGTCATCATGTTCTCAAAACAGTCATTCTAGGTTTCCCAGTAGCCCCTTAGAAAAAACAGGATGCCCCTGTTCCTACTATTGGGCTTTAGTACGGGAACCCAAAAAAACAAAGGGCAAAAGGGTCTTGCGGGGAAACCTAACTAACGTTAGATCATATGCACATTCGAGCAGATCTATGCAGATCCCATCTTGGATACGGTCATGTTATACCCAGATATATTCCCCCATCACCCCTGCAAAAACGTATAGACTCTAAACCCTAAACCCTAAACCCTAAACCGTAGGTCCCCGGCGTAGTCGGAGACCTCATCCGCAGGGCACTCCGCGCAGGATAAGCCGAAGGAAGCCGTGCGGAAGCCGAATGAGCCGCCATGTCGGTGGTAGCCTCAGCAGGTTCGTTTCTTAGGGTTTAGGGGTTATAAGGTTTAGGGTTTAGGGTTTAGGGTTTAGGGTTTAGGGTTTAGGGTTTGGGGAAGTTTAGGGTTTAGGGAAGGTGGAAGCCCCTAATTAGGCTCTCAACTCCTAACGGTTCAGAGTTTAGGGTTTAGGGTTTAGGGTTTAGGGTTTAGGGCTTAGGGTTTAGGGTTTAGGTTTAGGGTCTAGGGTTTGGTTAGGACTTAACCAGTATTCCTGTGCAAGGGGAGATCTGCAGGTTCCCCCTCCTGGTCTGCCAAGGAGCATTGCCGTTCCAACTCGGGTTTCGGCACGGGGAAAACCTGAGACACTGCAGATTTTAGGGGTGTGATATAGAAGCCTGAATGGTTAGTTTTGCTATACCATATACCCCAAACTCCCTATTTCTTGCACGGTTTTTATGGCGTTAAAACGGTTCTGCACAGGATTTGACACGGGTTTAGCGGGTTCAGGGTCGAGGGCTTTAAGGTTTGGGCTTTGGGATGTGGGGTTTCGGCTGGAAGGATCCACGACTTGTAGGTTGCTAGTGTTGGGTGCAACTCAGACCGCAGGTTTCGCAGGGGGCTCAAAATTTGAGGGTTTAGGGTTTAGGGCTTCGGGGCTCTTGGTCTCTTCACATAAGAGCTCAAGACCTGAAGACCGAAGAGCAAGGCAGCATCCAAAAGCGACAACCCTGAGCGGAACGGCTTCCCTGCAACAGGTCCTCAAAAAAAAGACTTGACGATCCTTACCACCCAGATTCACAACTCCCAAACCCGAAAATGGCAGTTGCCTTGTTGAAAAGCCCCGCCATGAAGGTCTAAGTGCACCTAGACCCTAAATCCCAGACCCTAA